CTCGGGCTCTTGTGGCCGCTGGGGCTGGATGGCGCGACCTCCCCGCGGGCGGGCGCAACCACGGTGCCGCCGCTGCGAAACTCCGCCTGCTGAGTAGCCGAGGAGCGAGCCGATCCCTCCTCTTTCCTCCCCGAAGCGCAGTCCTCTGCACAGACACCAAGACGATTACATAGTCTCTGCTCCAGCGCGTCTCAGTCTATAGTCATTCCACCTAAAAAAAAAGAGACGAGAGAACAAGAAAATGTAATCAGACATCCCAGGCGCCTTCCTCAGGGTTCCTGCAGACACCCCTCCTCCTCCTTCCCGAAGCCCCCATCGCTACCCTCCGCGAGCTCCTGCCCTCTCCCAGGCCGCTTAATCCTTCCTGGTTCCTCTGAGAAAAGCGAAGTTACTTTTCTTTCCCTGCAGAGCTGGAGCCGTCTTCGCGCGGAGAGGTTGCAGGGGCCCCTCGGGGATGAGCGCGGGGCGCGGGACGCAGTGGAACGAGAGGGGGCGTGCCGAGCAGCCCAGAGTGTGCCGGGAGCGCGGGGGAGGGGAAGCGCCGGGCACGTCAATGTCACGGCTTAATATTTATCCCTATATCGTGTTGGGCCGCTACCCTCCTCGCCTGCCCAGGCCTGGACGTGTCGGGAGAGGGGCTCCCAGGGTGCCGTGAAGCGTTAGGGGTCGTGCACAAGCTGGTGCGCAGAGACGGCGGGTCCACCCGTGTGGTGCCGCAGAATGTGGGTGGGGGCTACCAGGACCTTGTAACCCGATGCTGGGAGTGTGCGAGAAGGGGTAGTCAGACATCTGCTCGGAAATTGCTTCCTTTCTTTCTACTTTCAGTTTTTCTACGAGGAGACATTTAAAAACGACTTGAACACACTAATGGTCTTTTTGGGGCAAAGGAGCCTGGGTTGGAAGCGGAATTCTTCCTCCGACTTGGAGGTCCTCCTTGATGGAAATCCATCTGGTCGGGGAGGGCTGGGGCTCCCGCGACTGGGGGGTAGGTGAGCCATGAAGCCTCGGAGGGGCAGTCGCCCACAGGACACTAAGGGTAGGAGAAAGAGGTGCTCGCCGCACTTTAGCTTGTCGTCTCCTTGAAGAACAACTTCAGGAGGAAAGCAGCACAACCGTGACTCGCCTGGAAAGCTTAAACCGATTGCAACCTGAGCAAAACTCAGCCTCCTCTTAAAAAGAGTGGGGGTGGGGTGGGGGAATAAGTGCTCAGCCTTCAGGGAAAAGAGAAAAGGGGTGGCGCCCTCAGGGCCGGGACTCTCGAACCTTTGTCCACTCCCAGGATCGTCCCAGATATAAGTAGCAGAGGAGGCTGCTTCATTCCCCTTTCGACTTAAGGCCAGTCAGATCAGTAGCCAGTGGCCCCTTGGAGCCCGCTGCACAACAAAACGGGGGGTGGGGGGCACTTTCCCTCCCCATTCAGCAGCAATCCAGGATCTAGGGAACCTCCTCCCCACCACCGCTTTGGTCTCGGCCAGACATTCCGCAGTACTGCTGCGTGCCCGATATTCCCTGGGCACTTCGGAATTACCTGCCCCGCAACCGCTGGCGCGCTCTCCTTCTGCCAGGAATTAAAGAAACAAACGGCGCGGATTTCCGCCCCCCAACCAGTATTCGGGCGGAGGGGACCGCAAGGAGGGCAGAGTCCCTCACATTCGCTCCATTCAAAACTCTCCTTAAAAGGTGAAGGCGAATCCTGGGGGAGCCGAGGAACGAGCCCCCAGAGCCAGCACGGGAGTCTGAGCCAGGCCGAGGGCCACACAGGTAGCGGAGAAGCCGCCGCGGGCTGCGCAGCCCGCCCCTCCCGCGGCCCCCCTCCCGGCCCCAGTCCCGCCCGCGGCTCGGCAGCGAAGGAAGCGTCGGGGACGTCCCACCCCCGCAAGG